TTCTATAAAGTGGGGCAGTTCCAACTTTGCAAGGACAGTCTGGCGCTTCTGACTCACAGCCTGTAAGTACATTTCTTATATTTAAAGAATTTGCCACTGACGATTCAAACACGAGTAGCGCTTGTTGTTTGTCATTTCTCTGATCACAAATGCAGACATGGTTTTATGTTTACGCGGCGTGATGCAACGCAATGCGTAAAAAGACAGTATAAGTCATTATAATCAGTAATCATGTCCCCACTGGATGCAACAAATGCCTCGTTTATAATGGGTTTTAATGTTTTGTCTCGTCGCTCCGGCCGGACAGGGCAGCACAGTATGGTGAGGGGCATAACATTTCTGTCTGACGCTTGAGGTATTCGGCCAATCACAGCGCTCTGGATAGCGGGCCAATCAGAGCACACCTCGCTTTTCAGACCGATGAGCTTTGTAAAAATCGACGTGTTTCAGAAAGGCGGGGCATAGAGGAGAAACAATAATGTACAGTATGTGGAAAATAATGTGTTTTTTGAACCTTAAACCGCATAAACACATTTCATTACACCAAATACACCAAATAATGTTCCTTTTAGCAGCATCATATGACCCATATTGGGAGAAATCAGGCGTTGTGTGCGCTGTGTGAACATGATGCTACTGTAGTTATAGACTAAATGTGAATGTGCATTAATTCATCCCACTCACAAAAAACAGATTTAGTATTCATCAAAATGAATTAAAACAGTGAAATGCAAACTTAGAATATGACGCAAACCTGCAATAATTAAATGTGTTAAATAACACAAATGTATCTAATCCCATTTTATTAACTAATGTCTTTGCTGCTGACCTTTGATGATCCAGTTCAACCGTACTAATAAGCAAAAATGACTTTAGATAAACTAACAATTGTGCTTCATTGTTTTTTTATTGCTGAAGAGTGTTTCTTCTCCTGCGTTCTACCGTACAGACGTGAATTTACCTTTCCTTCAGCCTGAGGTTTATTCATTACTCTTTTTGGTGTGAAGGGGCTTTTACATTTGCTATAAATAAAACTTATTATATTAAAAACAATCAAGCCCTGCTCATATTTAAAAAGTAACGCATTACTTTCCATAAAAAGTAACTAAGTAACGTAATTAGTAACTTTTTGGGGGAGTAACGCAATATTGTAATGCATTACTTTTAAAAGTAACTTTCCCCAACACTGTGCGTAACTGCACTTCATCAAACACTGGTTAAACTGGTCCCAGTGCTGCAAGACTCGCCACTTTCCCAACACTGACTGCTGCTCAAATCTGATCCTTTCCATGTGTGTTTAATGCTAAGTGAACATTGATTGTCAAGATGAAACACGCCAACACATTAACTTAAAAACAAAACTGTCACAGACATGTGTGAAATCTTAGTAAATAGGCTAACACTGTTCTTTCACCTGATTATCGTATCGGACTTCACTAACACTACTGAAACAACTTCTCTGCTCATATTTTTGTTGTATGGGCGATACAGATCAGGGTTGTTAAAAACTTTTACTAGCTTTTATTTTTATTTTGGTTTTTAATTTCAGTTTCGTTTGAGTTAGTTTTAAAGGTGCGTAGTTGTGATTTCGTTTTGTCTTTCGAAAGACACAGCTTGCATTTTGTTTTAACTTTGGTTTTTAATATCATGGTAAAAGCCTTGATATTTGTAAATGTGTATTTGACAAAGGTGGAATAAATGATCGGAAGACGAGAGAATCTAACAACAACAAAACTAACAGCTTGTTTTACTTTTAATACATAATGGCAAGTTTTCACTTTGCATATAAAGTTATAACTTTCAGAAGGAATTAAACTGAAATAAAATGTAAAACGCATTTGCTTCAATGTGTGAGCTTGCACTTTCAGATTCCTTGAATCTTCCCCCTTAAAGCGATGTAATAAAGTTTCCATCGCTGCTGATTTACAAACATTTGTATCAGAAGCAGAATCGTACTTAAAAATAAATAATCCCAGCTCTGTGCCCCACCGTCAGTTCAAGAATAATGTATGCCATTTTATATTATTTATTTGAAAGAATGAAAAGAGCAAAGAGCAGTTTCATGCATATCCTTGCACTGAACGAGGCTGATGTTTAGAAAGTCATTAGAACTAAGTAGCCTAATGCAATACATTTTACAGAGAGTAATGAGTACAGTAATCTAATTACACTGTTGAATATGTAATCAGATAGTAGTTTAGATTATCTTACCCAACACTGGCCCCTGATAACTTGTATCTAAATTGGCAATGTTTCAGTTTAAAAGTAAATCCACATTGTTCTTAAGAGGAACATCTTTCCCATATTACCATACTTATTTTTTTTCTTGCAGAGTAGCCTATAAACAGTATATAGGCTGCATAAAATATCCCTACTCAATGAATTCAGGCTAATAGGATAAAAGCTAATTTGTTTGATCTACTACTTCGGAAAATCATTCTATTCTATTCTATTCTATTCTGTTCTATTCTATTCTATTCTGTATCTTCCAACCTGTGGCCTGGTGTAGCGCTGTACCCTCTGTGATGTCCAAACGCTTTGCGAATCGGTTCGTATAAAACATTAAAAAGAACAGGTTCAAAAGAACGACATTTCATACATTTCATGATGTGCATTTCGATTCGGAGTCAGTCCTATTTCAGCACTAAGGCGCTGTCCACTGCACGGGCACCAAAGCATCAATGAATGAACATTTACTGATCCGTAAACCTGCTGTCATATTAAACAATAAATGCTTTATAGACCCTTTCAAATGTTAGGCACACTGGAGTATGCCAGTAAAAGGACTGCTTTTTGTTTTGTCTCTGTAGACTGAACCCTGTCCACACATCAGATATTCTCCAAGAAATCTGGAGGCTGGTCAGTTGTCTTATTCACAATAAAGTGCAACAGCAGGGTACTGGAAGTGAAAATCCCATCCCCATTATGACCTTCAGAGTTAAGTGATGATATATGCTTCTGTGTCAGTTCATTTGTACAAATGTGGGTGTAGTAGCTGAATAACTAATAAGGAACCTCCCTACCCATAATCCATGAAGAGATCCACCAATCAGAGACGGTACTGTGGAAATGGAAATCCTGCAAAAGAGCTCAGCAGTGAATAATATACTTTTTAAGAATATACCTAACTGTGAACTGAATGTAAGGTTTTCAGACACTTAATTACATTAATTGCGATTAAAGGGGTCATATGATGTTGCTAAAAAGAACAGTATTTTGTGTATTTGGTGTAATGAAATGTGTTTATGCGGATTAAGGTAAAAAAAACACATTATTTTCCACATACTGTACATTATTGTTTCTCCTCTATGCCCCGCCTTGCAGCAACCACGTGTGACGACTCCGGGCTGGACTCCGCTTCGTCCACGGTGAAAGCCGATCCGGAGTAGTTTCGCTTTCACAACGACACACACAGCGCCTTCACAACATGGCGGCGGCAGCATCAACAATACTGCAGCGAGAATAA